AAAAAAAAACAAAAGAGACATTGAAATACCCGAATAATGATTGATAGATTTCGATGATATACTATTTCCATTTGAACTAGTTGATAGTTCAATATTTTGTAAATTATCATTTTCATTATTTTGTTTTTGATCTTTCTCTAGATTATATTCATTCATACATGCATCAATATAATTTTTAATCATATTATCGGATGTATTTGGTTGTTTTGGTTGAAAATTTGTAACAATTATTGTTAAAATATTTGTATGACGATTTAATAATGGTGATGATTTTCGTCGTTCAGGTAAATTTTCATTGATAATTGAAGAATCTAATATATGATTAGGTGGATTTTTTAATGATGTTCGTTTTGTTAATGAAAATGGATGAATAAATGTTCGACGAATTATTTTTGAAAATGAATTAAATGATGAACGAGATAATTTTTTATTTCGTGTTGATGTTGTTGTTGGTGTCGTTGAATTCAGTTCATGTGAAGAATCAATATGATCTCCTTTTGATATTTGTTCATCATCTATCGTTGTTGATACTTGTGGATTTAAATTATTTAAAAGTGAATATTCTTTTGATAGATTTAAATATTTTTCAAGTATATTCATTCGACTTTCTTCATAATTTGGATATAAATGAATTTTATCATCGGATAATTCTTTATCAATTGGCCATTGAAAATTTAAACCAGGATCAATCAGAAAATGAATAGGTAAAAGATCAAGAGTCTCTATATCGATTAGAGGTATACGATACGTAGCTAATAAAAAAGAAAAATAAATTTAAATAATTCATATTTTATTCAATTACTTTTTGTTATTGATTTTATAGTTTGTTCCATCGCTACAAGAGCTGAAAAATGTGCAGCATCAAATGCCAAAAATACCTAAATTTAATTGATAAGAAAATATCATTAAATGAATTAACCTACCGGTTGTTTATGACATTTATCTGGTGGAATTTCTAAATGAATGAAAAATATAAAAATTCGAAATGAAATTTTTTTTCTTCAAGATCAAAATTACCTAATGGTAAATAAATACCACCAAATTCAATGGGTGAAATAGCTTCACCATCGTTTGTACGTAAGATTGTATCTGAATAAATAATAATTGGTCGACGAATATTATTTGCAAGAACATAAACATGAAATTCTTCTAAACTTTCATAGTATTGTCTTGATGATTGTGATAAAGATTTTGTTGAATCATTAGAATTGATTGGAGTAGATTTTAAATAATTACTATTAAAAATAGAAATGATTTTTATTTTCTTCTTCTTCTACTTCATATAACATACTCATCGATAGGTGGATTTGAGTCTAGTACTTTTGTTTGTACGGTACGTGGTTCAGCGGATGATAATCGTAATAGACTTTTCCATTCTTCATTCCATTCTTGTTCAGAAAAAACAAGACCGTACTATGTAAATAAAATATTTTTAGTATTTAATAAAAATTAAATCTATAATACTTTTTTATTTTGTACAGATTGTGCCCAACGCCAACGTCGATAGAGAGAACAATTTGGTTTTGAAGTTATTAGTGTTTCATTTAATGCTTTACGCATTGATAATGAATGATCATGAAAACCCCACATTGCTAGTGATGTCGCATGTAATAAACAATTTCCATCTCCAGTTGTTACTAACGGATATAATTTTGGACATGGAAGTTTTTTATTAACCCACCAATTCAGACGTTCTAAAAATGATAGAATTTTTAAAAAATAAAATTCTAAAATTAAAATAATATATACATACTTGTTTCCTCCAATGATATCATTGTTGGTGTATCAACTAGACTATCCATCACACGAATACGAATATCTTCGGGTAATTCATATAAATTTGGTAATATAAATGATGATTCAGCATCATTATGATCAATTGTAACTATTTCATCATTAATTGATGTACGACGATAATTATTAGCTAAAACATTTCGTTGATTATTTACAAGTGTTTGATTAGCTGATACAGTTGATAAAGCTCGATGTAATATTGGATTCGTTAAAGAATCATTATCTAAATTAACTTGAATAAAGATTTGTTCATTTTTTTTCATTTAAATTCTTACTTGTTCGTCGAAGTTTAACATCTACTGATAAATTATTGTCATTATATGAATTTTCATTTTTATAATATGAAGAATAATTTTGCATTCTCTATTGAGTATTTGACATATTAAAAAGAATTTTTTTTTCCAATTAATTCAAATCCTATCATATATCTGGCATGATTTAAAAATATATGAAAGTATTTACATCCTTCAAATAATAAAGATATATTTACAACAATGGTCTGTTCTAATTTTACGACAAATTATTTTGTTTATTTATTTATTAAGAATTATTTCGTTTATTATGAAAATATTAATCAAAATTAAAATATGAGAATTATTGATTATTATTGAAAATTGTGTCCGGGATTTTGTTGATTAGTGTTATAATAAATATATATACAGATGTCACTTTTAATTAATCATGTCTCTGAATATCCATTGGTTCTTATTTTTGTCATAGTACGTTCTTTTTGTGGATATAAAATCAATTATTTTTGATAAAATTTTGCTAATAAACTGATGCAAATCTTTTTAGTTTAAATATGATTAATGAACCATCAAGATTAAATCATTTCCTTGACGAATTAGTAAACATAAATGATTTTATTTATAAGAAAAACACTAATAAATTTTAATTATTTGTTAAGACTGACAAAAAAATTGAACGAGAAACAATGATATTTACATCTGAATTATATGAAAAAGTTATATCTGCTATTCTTTGTTCATTTAATTCAACAACAACAAATAATGAAAAACAAAATGCATTTAAATATCTTGAAGATTTAAAAGAAAATCATTCAATGATATGTTTAACAATATCATTTGAATTGTTAAAACAAACACATAATCAACCTATACTTCATCATTATAGTTTACATCTTATGGAATCAATTATAAAACATAAATGGAATATATTGAAAAATGATGATAGAAATTTAGTTAAAAAACAATTATTTTCGATTATTAAGAGTACTTATCTGAATCAAATATTTGCGGAACCAGCACATATAAGAAATTCTTTAGCAAAATGTTTAGTTGAATTAATTAAACGAGATTGTTTTGAAAAAGTTAATACAACATTAGATGAAATTGTTAATATGATACAAGAAATTAATCAAATTCAAGGTTTGTTTTCTATTTGAAAGATGCGGATAGGAGTTTGGAAACAAACCGAGTACTTTTAACCTCACCCTCACTTCGTAAGATTCGTCGTGCGCATCTTTCGGGATGCCAATAGGAGAATGCATTACTTTTCAGATAAATTTAATGAACTGTATAGTTTAAAAAACTGCACTCTACATCATCTTCTCTTTATTATAGA